AGAGAAGAGGGATACCTGGGAGAAGAGGGCGTTGTGGCGTGGTTTCTCTAGCTTTGGCGCGGTGGCTATTGTGGCTCTGCCTATAGCTTTGGCGATGGTGAGAGAGAGAGACCGAGTGTCTGTGTGTTTGGGGGAGAAAATTAGGGGGAGGGGCAGGGGATGGGAAAGAGAGAGGAAGGGAGGGGGAAGTGACCATGCCATGAATTTTGAGGAAGTGACCGTTGCCTCTCGTCGCCTGCTCTCTGACAGTGAATAGACTGAGATGAGAGAGAAGAGATATGGGGGAAGAGCCGTTGGGAGAGAGAGGACACGAGAGAGAACAGATCTGGAGAAGAGCCGATCTGGGAGAGAGAGGTCATGAGAGAGAACAGATCTTGGGTTGGGTTGGGTTGTGATGGTTGGGTTTGGTTAAGTTGGGTTGGATGTGATGATTGATTTTGATTAAATTGAATGAGATGAATTTAAGGAAAAAATATATGGACTTTTGAATTCGAATGAGTTATATTGTGAGCATTTGAATGTTGAAACTTTTGGATGAATTGTGATTGTCCAATCAGTTTATTGAAGTTTTGCTCTATTTTATATTATAGATTACCGAAATAAAAAAACTGGAGCAGATGCCGTTTTCAAGAGAAATTCCTCCTGTAGTTATTGGATTTGGGATATCCTGAACAACAATAACAAGAATCTTAAATCGTTATTAGGCTGCAGAACCCCACTATCCAAACAACCCCTAGGAACCCGGTGAAGGTTTTATAACCCTAGCTCAATCCCTATAAATAAAAAGCACAGAGCCTGCTTCCGTTGAACTGCGCCTTCTTCAGCTTCGTTTACTGCTCTCTCTCTCTCTCTCTCTCTCTCTCTCTCTCTCTCTCTTGCGCTAATGTTCTTCTTGCTCCATGCTTCCTCAGTAGTTTTCTTTTCTTTTTTTTTTATTTGAAACCCTGAAAGAGATCGCGGTGATGACTCCATAAAAATTCAAGCTCAACAGACCGGAATGCAGGCTCTCTTTTTAGAGGTGCTTGCGTGTCGACTACCCCGCTGAGCTGAGCGATCCTCTCTCTCTATGTGTGTGTGTGTGTGTTTTGTTTGAATGAATTTGATTTTTGATTAGATTTAAATTACGTGTTGTGGGAAAGGAAGGTTGCAATGAGGATAGCAAAGCTCCCTCTTCTGAAATCTATAGTTGAGGACTTTTTGCTGGCAGAATCGAACCTATTACTTAAAATTGCCACTGCTGAGCAATCTCTTTCCCCATTTCAGATCTCCCGTTTCTCTCTAAATTAATGGTTGCAGTTCTTCATTTAACATGATTTGAAATTTATGTTCACACAAGTTAGTGATTGAAATAATTTGATAGAGTCATACAAATTTCTTTGTTTTATGAGTATAGTGTGGATGAGGATGAAGCAATAGTTAATATTCCAACACTTGGACTGAGATAATCTATTTTTCAAGTGATGCAAAAAACTATGCTACTGAATCTACTCTTTCTGCAACTACTGAAACTTCTGATTTATCTCCAACTAGATTGTTATTAGCTAGGGTTTAGAGATCTTATATTGTCTCTAAATGAATGTTTAAATTGTTCTTAATTTTTGAATGTTTGATGAAAGACAATAATCTTGTTGCTAACTTGCTAGACATATTTGGTTGTCTAATCCATTGTGATGTTGATTATCCTGCTTTCTACTCTGTTTTCTTGGTGTTCTTGTTTGAATATTTATTTCTTTCTTGCATCTTTTTGGATTCTGTATTTCTCAAGAAATCATCAAGTGATGAAATTCAGATAAATCTTGGGACACCATTGGACACAAGTTGTTAAATTGTTCCCCTTTAACTTGTGCTCAATAATACAAGCGAATTATTTGAACTTAGTGTTTGAAGTATATTACATTATCAATGTCTTTTCGTTCTATCTATGGACAGAGGATTGTTCTATTTGTAAATGGTGTCAAATTAGTTTTGAACCACATTTTTTGTGATAAGTTTATTGTATAATTCAACAAACATGGGTGATAATAGCAATTGAAAGTACAATAGCGTTGCGATAGACATACCCTGAATAGATGATGAGAAGCGGAATACAAAAAGGGTTGTGCAGGCCCAATTGGAGTGGTTGGATGATCAATTGGGAGGGATGATTTCTTTTATGGTTTTTCATGGCGGTTAAAGAAAGAACCGGAGGAGTTGTGTATAGGACAGTGATTAGGCGTTCGGGTCAGAGAAAAAGAGTCTGTCATGATATTTGTGAATAGTTTTATTAATTTTGAGAAAATATTTTATAAAGTCTCACCGAGCGTGTTCAATGATAAGTTTAAGTAAGGTTTGATTGACTTAAAATTTTAGTTCATTTTTAAATGGAACTTATTTCATGGAGTGATATCAGCTATACATTATTAAACAAGTTAAATTTAATTACTGAATTTTTTCAGTTTTAAGTGTTGAATTATGTTATCAAATAACCCTTAAATTCAAGATGAATAATGTTGGAGATATGGTGGATCCATAGAATAATTTCTTAGAAGTTAAACGCTTGATTTTTTGCTGCTTATGAAACTGGTTGGCATTTGCCTTTTATATTTTGTTGGCTTTTACTAATACAAGAGTACTATAGAGGATAATTCTACGATTTGTTTGTTTTTAGCAAAAACCTAAATGTCTTTGGTTGGAATGATGTCTGGTAAGCATTCATGTTTGTTAATGCTATTGAAATGAAGTGGGCTTAGTATAACTTGTAATGTGGTTTTGTTTTTGATTTGAAATTGATGTAATTTTTTTATTCGGTTCTGCATCGTTACTTTGGTTCATTAGCCTATTTGACAAAATCATTCTATTTTTGAGTTCGTTGTGAATTGGAAATCTAAAATTTTATCATTTTATCAGACAAATTCATGAACAAGAATAATCACAATGGATTTGATATCTGGACAAGAATAATCAAATCATCATTGTGGTGTCTTTTTTTGTTCAATTTATGATAAATTGTCTTGTCATTGAACTCAGATTTGGGGATGCACAAGGCAGGCTAAAAGAGTGGGATAACGTGTTGATTGGGCCATTTTCTCATTTTTACTACCTAAAATATGAAATTCTTGCCATAGAGCATTCGGACAAGACTTAAAACCAAACAGTACTTGAATTAGCAGGTGCTGGGGATCTGACCCCGTGACTCCATGGGCAGATTAATGATCGGATTCCACGCAAATATTGGCTAAACTTGGAGTATGTCAGCAGAACTATGGGCACGAGAGAAGGCTTGTCGATTGCGGTCCAAAGAAACATTAGGTTGCTGGAAATCAAAGTGGATATACATCAACCCACTTGGTCTCTGAAAATATTAATTTTTTTTTATATCGTATGATTTTTATCATTTTTTTATTATAAATCTCATTTTCTTTTGAAGTGGTTCTTTTTTTTTTTTTGATGCGATTTTTGGTATTGTGGTTTTCAATTATGAAAAGTAGTTTACAAACATATGAATGAAGTAAATATGACGAGGCATCCGCATTATGCACATGAACCAGGTACGGTATGGAGCACAATCTGAAAAAGAGTGTTTTAGCCGACACCCATCCAACAATATGCTATTATTTTGCGGCGGAAAGTGATGCATACTGTGGTTAACCGTTGGGTGTTGCATGCTTTTCGTTGCCACGTGTACACGGTGGCATGGCCGGCCACTAAAAGGTTGACAAAATCCCGCTCCTCAAATCATTACCCTAAATAATTTTTTTTATATAAAGACTAAAATACCCTTATAATATTATTTTATTATTTGGACCTAATAAAATACTGTAACTGCTAAATGATAATCAAACATGAGAATATAATTATTATTAATTAGTAATATTTGCTAATGTAGCAGTGAAAATTCATTCACGTTACCCATTCAATGCTCTATCTCACCAGTCCAAAATATATTATTCTTTAATATTTGATGGTATTTCTTAGTTCCAACTGACCATCACCACCACTCCATCTCCACCGGGGTTTCAACTCCAAAATTGGGTTCGTGTTAAGAGTTTGGGGTCAGGGGTTGGAAATGGGTCTAGGGTTGGATAATGGGTGTGGAGTTTGGGGTTGGGGTTGGGGTTGGGGTCGGGTTCGGGTCTAAGGTCTGCGTACCATACACATACTAAACCTTCATCCTATTTTCATACAAAAACCTTACCGCGTACCAAACACATCATATTAAATGAAATTTGTTGCAAATTCCGTAGTAATAATGGAATAAATTAGTGAATTAAGTCTATAGTTAAGTTTAAAGAGAGTTACTCATCGTTTATAGTAACTACCTTCATAATTTTAGGAGATGATCATAATAAAATAATTTTTTAAATACGAAATGTATGCATTTATGTTTGTGTACCATTACCCTAGATAATGTACCAATAACAATACTTTTAAAGGTTGGGATTGAACTAAATTAATCTGATCACATTTAATATCAAGTTTGAACGAAGTAATAAATTCCGGTATACAAAGTATCATTTAACATCTCATATTTGATATAAGCCAATATTATATAATAGCTGGTATTAAATAAAACATGATTGATATCACCATTCAAAATGAAATGACTATCCTTACATGCTAAAGAATTATGCATTGATGTAGAATATTTTTGTCTTTTTGAACTTAATACCATACACTAATACCCCATCCAAATATGATATTAGCGTTAAAATCATGATCTCACCACCCCAATAGGATAGGGCAGCAGTGTGTTGGGTTTGGAAGAATCAGGGTCAGTTCTGTAATTTTAATCAAGATATTTTTCTTTCAAAAAACCTGATACGGCGAAATTAGTGGCTCCAATACAATTAGTTGACGTTATTATTATAGTTGGGAAGGCGGTGGTGCAAATCACAGGTGGTGGTGCACAACCTCATTGACAAATTCTCTCTCAGCCAGACAAATGGCCCACTGGGTCGTTAGTCTCACGGATCCTCATGTCAATACCAAACCCCATTAAATACAACCATGCACTAAAGAGTTGGAGTCTCATCTCATGTCCACAACTCACAAAAGCCAATATTCACACGGTACACACACTGCTCATATCACTAGCAAAACCATGGAAGAAACACAGCCCCAAATGCTGGCATGCTCTCTGATTCTCCTGTTCTTGCTCTCTGGCCGTTCGTTGGCGTTTAACACCGGAGGTGACGGTGGTGGAAAAAGGTCAGCTTCACCAGAAATGTCCCAACCTAGTGGGGGTAGTGGATCAGCTCATGGTCCTAATTGGGACTATAGTTGGGGTTGGGGTTCAAGTCCAGGAGCAGGATGGGGTTATGGTTCAGGCTCTGGGAGATCTCCTAATGGATTCGGCAGGGGCTTTGGGTTTGGGTTTGGTTCGGGGAGTGGGTCCGGCAGTGGGTTTGGATATGGGTCTGGTGGTGGCGGCGCTCGTGGAGGCGGCTATGGAGCTGGAACAGGTGCTGGTGGCAACAGGGGAGGCGCAGGTGGTGGAAGTGGTGGCCCTGGTGGGTCGGGTGACAATGACCACCATGGGTAAAGATAGTAAGAAACTAGTACTTGGTGTTTATATACATGTATCTTTAAGGAAAGTATGATGGAGAAGTGTGTTTGATTTTGAGCTTTATTTACATTTTCCATGTTTTATATGTATCTTATGTACGAATACTACTGTTATAGTGATATGAGATAGAGAGGGGTTCTCCTTTCTTATACTTTGGACTGCAAGTAATCTCTCTCTCTCTCTCCAGTTTTTCGGTGCATAATATGTCATATTACCTTTGTTCTGTTAGAGCTCGAAATCCATTCTCCAAAATAAGTTAAAATTGCCTATCAATCACTCAAATATGTTTCTCACTTGAAATTTCGCGTTTCATACACCATTTTTTGGGATTTGATGAGACGAAAATCTTGTATACTATATGATGATGTATAAAACAGACTTTGTACAAGAATAACAATCGAGTATGTAAAGAGGTGTAATTAATAGATAATAAATAAAACAATCAATGACAGTAATGTAAATATTGAGTCAACACGTAGATATATAGTGGTTCGGTCCGAGTGACCTACTCCACTTTGAGAAACGGCAGTGGTGGGTGGGGCTTTTTATTGATCAAGCAAGGTGAACGGGGGAAAGAGCAATGGATAGTTCCAAGAGAGAAACAATAGCTAAGAGAGAAAAGCTATGTGTGTGTAGAGAGGTGTGGTGAGATGCCTCTCTCAATGAAGAGAGTTTACAATTTATAAGTATAGTGAGGCGGTGACGTGAGTGTAAGGGTACTAATTCTTCAGGAGGATAGTTACAAAAGGTAAGTACAATTAAGGTAGTCTTAATTCTCGAGGGTGTGTATCCCGACAATTCTTCCCCACGTGCTCTAATTATTCTTGGACTCTTCGGACCTTGGGTTGGATCGAATTCACAAACTGAGCTTGCCCCGCCTTTTAACTGACTTGAGCTTACTTGGTTTATTGGGCCTAGCCCGATTGGATTTGGGCTCGTCATTTTCCCCCAATGCCCCAAGTCCTAATTGATTGCGAGAGAAGGGGTTTGAGGGTATGAGTGAACTCTTAGTTTCTTGTTTCGCATGGTAGCTTCTTCGTCTTCCCCGTTTTTGCAAGAATTCTTTCTCCATTTTTTATCATCATTACAATGACGATCACCTTCTGTGATAGACCCTCAAAGTTAGGGAAATCCACGGGGAACACCAAGGCTAGTACCATAGAACTCCTCAATCCTAAGTAAATCGACAGCAGGAGATGCTGGGTTACTAGAGACGTCGAAGAGGGAAACGCCCAGGAGAGAGGTGGCCAAAGGGGAGGCGCCCAAGAGGGTGTTTGGAGGTGGTGAGCTCGTGGAAGGCGACACCAAACAGGGTTTGGTCGACCCCCATGGCGGGGACCAACTGCATGTGCATAGGGAAGATCAGGCGAGAACCTAGGCGCTGAGCGACTCCGGTATACCTGAGGTGCTGGGCACGGGCACGACAAAATTTTGAACAACCATAACTTTGCGGGCAGTTGTCTATTTAAGGCGAATTTTTTTTTAAAATCTAGGTATTTTTTTTAGCCGAATTTGGTTTGGTCACCAAATTTCTCTAAAAAATACTTCTGTCTCTCTCAATTTGAGTTTTTAACACAAATTAGTGAAACCAACGGTAGTGGAAAACTGCGTTATGACAGGCAACTGTCAGGCATTCATGGGCGATGGATTAGCATTCTAGGTTTTTGCCAAAGAGGGAGACTATGATGACTTTTGGCTATGCTGGTTCTTAACCTTGTCTCTTATTACAGGCGCTTCCATTGATAGAACGACGATGATAGAGGTGAAGGTTCTTTATACTACTAGGACAACATCTTCCCCTCTTGTCAAGAGGGCGAGATTTGATGCCCCCACTGTTTTTCGGTCAAGGTCCAATGACCAGGTTGCTTCCTAGGAGCGGGATCCGGTGGTGCCCCCACTCCTTCCCAGACTAGGACTTCAGTGTGTACCAAAGCTAGTCCTTGTGCAGTCTTTTACGAGGACTATAGCTCTACATAGCTACTCTACTTCTAGTAGTGACTCGGTGTCCATGCTTCGATGTAACTTTGGCCAAGGAGCAACTTTGGAGGTTTGTGACTCTCAGAGATATCAGAGAGGTTGGATCTCAAGATTCAAAGGACATTATCAACTTTGATTTTGTTCTAGCCTCTTTTTCTTCATGTTCTGTCTTTTGGATTCTTGTTGCTGACTACCNTGGCCAAGGAGCAACTTTGGAGGTTTGTGACTCTCAGAGATATCAAAGAGGTTGGATCTCAAGATTCAAAGGACATTATCAACTTTGATTTTGTTCTAGCCTCTTTTTCTTCATGTTCTGTCTTTTGGATTCTTGTTGCGGACTACCACTTTTCCCTACCTCTTTTCAACAACGATCAAACTTGGAAGACATCCAGGGATCTGGCAAAAAAAAAAAGCAGTCTTTGAGAGACTGTTGAGGAGCAGTTGGAGCTTGTTCACGAGAGAGTCACGCCTCTTGAGACCGAGATTTTGGCATCCCACGACAGGGCCGAGGAGCTAAAGGCTAATAAAGAGATTGTCTGCTTGAGAACAGAGTTAGGGCTGCGAACGTCCCATGAAAGGGTTGTAGGAGCTGAGACCGAGCTACGTATAGCTCGGGAGAGGGCTGTCGTGGCAAAGGCTTATAAAGAGACTACCTGTGTGAGGGCAGAGTCAGAGCTACGAATGTCCCATAAGAGGGCCATAAAGTAGGAGATTGAGGTTGCTGAAAAGCAGAGGTAGGCTTAGGCCGAACTTCTTGGCGACTTGCGAGATAGTGCGAAGTTGGATACATAGACTACTTGGGAGCAGAAGTAAGATCAGGCTTCTTGGTGACTCACGAGAGAGTGCAAAACTGGATACATAGACTGCTTAGGAGCAGAAGTAAGATTAATTTGAGCTTCTTGGCGACTCGTGAGAGAGTGCGAAGGTGGATACATAGACTGTTTGGAAGCAGAAGTAAGATCAGACCGAGCTTCTTGGCGACTCGCAAGAGAGTGCGAAGTTGAATACATATGCTGTTTTGGAGTAGAGGTAGGATTAGACCAAGCTTCTTGGCGACTCATGAGAGAGTACGAAGCTGGAGATATAGGCTGCTTGCTTGAGAGCAGAGGCAGAGTGATGCGAGGCGTGGGGTGGGGTGCTGGGTTGCTGGAGACGCCGAAGGGGGAGACTGGCCTCGTTGGCGACGACTCGGGTAACACAGGGAAGTGGTTAGGCATTCACATGGAAAGAATTCAGGACGCGTGTTATCTGGTGCCCATATTTTTTCCTTCCTCGACGTAGGTAATTCTTTGGTATTGACTTGATTTTGGCCTTGTCCCATATGAGGTACCAGAGCCTCGGGGAGTAATGACTGATCGTCGGGAGTATAACAATTGTTGTCTTTTTTGTCTTCCTTGTTGTTAGGTCTAAGTTCTGACTTTTATAAGCCGTTTACAAATTTTATGAAAGTAAGATAATTATGGACACAATAATCTTCACAGAATTTNTTGTTGTCTTTTTTGTCTTCCTTGTTGTTAGGTCTAAGTTCTGACTTTTATAAGCTGTTTACAAATTTTATGAAAGTAAGATAATTATGGACACAATAATCTTCACAGAATTTTATTTCATAAAATAATAAATAACAAAATAAATCAACTGAAACAATAATAAATAGATAAAATGAGTCACTAACATGTACTTGCTATTGATAATAGCTCTTCAGGTGTTTGGCGTCCCATATGTGGGCTGAGACTTTCTTGGTGGAGTTCGAGTCACCTCTTCTCCCAGCCCTCAAGAAATCGTTTAGATTTCTCTGAGGGGTTGTTGGCGTTCTCTGTCATCCTGATCCCAACCAAGTGGCAGGGCTTGTCTTCTGCCAGCAATTTACTGCCTATTTGGTCATATTGTATGAGTTCCTCGATTTGTCTATTGACCTCATAGCAGTCATCAGTGTCATGACCATGATCGCGGTGGAAGTGACAGTGTCTGCTGGAATTTTTGCAGTTTGGGGCGGACTTCATTTTTTCGAGCCATCGGAGCGTGGGGTCATCCTGTATCTAGAATAGGATGTACTCCACCGAGGCGTTGAGTGGCGTGAAAGGTTGTCGTTCTCTTAGGCATACGGGACTAAGACGGTCCTTGATAAAGACTCTCTCGGTTCTCTTTCTCTTGTTCTCCGCCTCCTACTTGTCTTCGCAGGTGTCCTTCCTTTTCTCCCTTCCTCGAGAGGACTCACCTCAACGGGCCTTGGTGACGTTCTCGGTATTCATGTATTTTTGTGCCCTTGACAGCAACTTGGGCATGCTAGATGGCAATTTCTTGAGGCTAGAAGAGTGCAGACCAGCAATAAAAGTGGTCAGGGCTACCTTATCATCTGCCTCCTCGATCTGGAGAGTCTCCTCGTTGAAACAAGTGAGGTAGCTCCTAAGGCTTTCGTCCCGGTCTTGCTTGATGGTGAACAGGTGGGTAACAAGCTTCTCGTGTCGGTGCCTCCCAATGAAATGGGAGACAAAAGACTTATTCAGTTCCGCAAAGGAGTGGATAGAGGAGGGTTTGATTTTCATGAANGTGAGGTAGCTCCTAAGGCTTTCGTCCCGGTCTTGCTTGATGGTGAACAGGTAGGTAACAAGCTTCTCGTGTCGGTGCCCCCCAATGAAATGGGAGACAAAAGACTTATTCAGTTCCGCAAAGGAGTGGATAGAGGAGGGTTTGATTTTCATGAACCATTATCGAGCAGACCCCTTCAAAGTGGTAGGAAAGACTCTACACATGATCTCATCAAACACGTTGCAGAGTTGCATTAGAGACTTATATGTGTCGAGGTGATCTAGAGGGTCCTTGGTACCATCGAAGATCTCGATGACAGGCATCTTGAATTTCGAGGGTAAAGGATAATTGACAACACCTGCAACAAACGGAGTGTCAGTATGCCTTATCAAGTAGTCTACAGTCTCTGGTGCTTTCCGCTTTGATGGTATTGAGGGCATGACTGAGTTGGTTTTGCACCTCTCTGATCTTCTCGTCTCATTGGTTGGGGACATGCTCTGTCGGGTCGTTGTAATGGCTTTCATGATCGGCATACTGACTTTCTCCCTTGCCCTTCTTTGCAGGTACATGCGGAGGGGGAACATGTGAGGTTTCTGCGCCCTGAGGACGAATTCCAGAGCGAGAGGCACCCGGGCATTGTCCTGGGTGCCTAGTCAGTACGCCTTACCAAGTAGTCTACAGTCTCTAGTGGTTCTGCTTTGATGGCGTCGAGGGCATCACTGAGTTGGTTTTGCACCTCTCTAATCTTCTCGTCCCATTGGTTGGGGANATTTGATGGCGTTGAGGGCATCACTGAGTTGGTTTTGCACCTCTCTAATCTTCTCGTCCCATTGGTTGGGGACATGTTCCACCGGGTCGTTGTAATGGCTTTCTCTCTCGTCCTCCTTTGCAAGTACATGAGAAGGGGGACACATGTATGCTTCCTGCACGCTGAGGACGGACTCTAGGGCGAGAGGCAGTCAGGCATTATCTTGGGGCGTTCTGTTGCGAGGCTTCACGGTGGGGGATGACTTGGCGCCCATAGTGGAGAGGTTATTGTTCTTCTCCCGTTGGAGGGAATGGTGCTCCTCCTTCGGGCTGAGGGGTGACGCCTGCTAATTCTGTTTTACCAGTAATTATATGGTCTATAAAAGTTGTTGTCTAACCACAGGAGTCGCCGCAATGAATGGTTCAGAGGGTGCAAAGGGAGACAAAGCCTCTTCCCGGGGGGTCGGGTTTTTATTTTTCGGTTGTTGACTCATTAACCTAGTCGTGATTGCCATGGAGTAGCAAAGTAGTAGAATACTTAATCGTTTTTCACAGACGGCGTCAAGATAATGATGTACAAAACAATCTTCGTATAATATCAACAGTCGAGTGTATGAAGAGGTGTAATTAATAGACAATAAATAAAACAATCAATGACAGTAATATAAATATTGAGTCAACACGCAGATATATAGTGATTCGGTCCGATTAACCTATTCAACTCTGAGAAATGACGACGGTGGTCGGGGACTTTTTATTGATCAACCAAGGAGAACGGGGGAGCGAACAATGGATAGCTCAAGGAGAGAAACAACAGTTAGGAGAAGCTATGGGTGTGTAGAGAGGTGTGGTGAGATGTCTTTCTCAATGTAAAGAACTTACAATTTATAGGCATGATGAGGCGGTGACGTGAGTGTGAGATTACTAATTTTTTAGGGAGAATAGTTACAAAAGATAAGTACAATTAAGATAGCTTTAATCTTTGAGGGTGTATATTCCGATAATTTCTCCTCACTTGCTCTAATTATTTTTGGACTTTTCAGACTTTGGATTGGGTCAAATTCACGAACTGAACTTGACCTACCTTTTAATTGACTTAAACTTACTTGGTTTATTGGACCTGGCCCGATTGAATTTGGGCTCGTCACCACAAACGACTATAGTTATCCAATAACAGAATTTTTTGAAGTATCTTGATGGAAACATCAGTCATGGTGTACAATTGCAAGGGCATAATTGTTATCCATTTTGTAACAGGGCATCATCAGACATGCTTACTCTGAGTGCATCATGTCATAGCCTCAGTAATGTACGAATCTAGACCTGAATTGCAGTTTAATCTCGACAGTATATTAGGGGGCAATATTCTGATGCTAAAACAAATGAAACCCCAGCAATCAAAAAAATGGCATCATTATCACAACATGACAACAACGATAATAATTTGAGAATAACTTCAACAATTATAGCAAACTATAACTTAAGAAACAACGATTATTCCATAAAAATAAGCAGCAAACAACCCAAACAGTGGAACTGATAGTAATATCAGAATGATCGTCTAGACTAAATTCCAGTAACTAGGATAATATAGAGTAAGGGACACGGAGCTGCCAATTGCAGCCAAAACCACGACCAAATTTTACTCATAGATCCAGGGATGAAGGCTGCTCTGCCAGTTTACAGTGCCATCCGGAAACCACAGTGCTATCTCTTTCCTAGCATTCTCAACTGAATCACTTCCATGAATAACATTCCTGCAATTTTTCATCAAATGAAGAAAAAATTAGCAAAAGAATTCCATAAGATTTTGGCACCCAAAATTCCAGTATCACAAGTATCAATCAGCGGAAAATAAAACACAGAACTATATATAAGGAAATTGGAGTGTCTATCAATGGAATGTCTGGCCCTTAAATGAACTCAAACAGTTCATTGCGAAAAGGTAGAAAGATATCATCATGATCACTTGAGTAGAATGTTTACGAGTTGAGTCATCATTTTACAATTGATACATTAATAATATGCTGCTCATAAGAGGACTTCCGGTTTTGTAAGGAAGCTTTCATCATCCCTCAATCACAAACTTTATGCAGGCAAAGCAGAAGATTCACTATTTTTTTAAACTAAGACAACCCCATTCAAACACAACAAAGGTGCAATCTCCAATCAAGCATAAAACAATTCCGAATTTAAAACCTTTGACCCAATATACAACAAAAAAAAGAACATAAAATCTGGCATTCCAATAATTGCATGAAATATTGGATAAGAAATTCAGAAATTTCAGAAGTTAAGGTAAATAGCTAAGGAGCCACCCACATTCAGCAGTGAAGTTGGCGATTCTAACAAGCATATAGTCATCTGAACTCACTTCCCTAGATTTTTTTTTTTCATTTAAAGGCCAATAGGAACAGAATGGAAAGAAGCCAACTTCATATTAACACAGAAGTTGACATGTACAAACATCAGTATGCACAAATAACTCTATATAATACTTTCCTCANTCATTTAAAGGCCAATAGGAACAGAATGGAAAGAAGCCAACTTCATATTAACACATAAGTTGACATGTACAAACATCAGTATGCACAAATAACTCTATATAATACTTTCCTCAACTTCTCTGTATTCTTAGACAAGATTATAACAAACAATTACGAGTCCGCACAAAATTACTCTCATTGACATAATAGATACCTCCCAATCTCAACAGCAAAATCACCGCGGATGGTACCGGGATCAGANCAACTTCTCTGTATTCTTAGACAAGATTATAACAAACAATTACGAGTCCGCACAAAATTACTCTCATTGACATAATAGATACCTCCCAATCTCAACAGCAAAATCACCGCGGATGGTACCGGGATCAGACAGTGATGGGTTAGTGGCACCAATGATCTTCCGACCAGTCGCAACCACATTTTTGCCTTCCCATACCATGGCAACCACAGCACCAGAAATAATGTACTCAACCAGGCCGTCAAAGAATGGCTTTGCGGACAAGTCCTCGTAGTGCTTCTCAGCAAAAGGGCGTTCAACGCGTATAAGCTTCATTTCTGATATGTACAAGCATACCAATTGTACATAAGCACCAAATATGATGTATCCATCCACATTTATTACTGCACATATTCAAGAATTTGAATGTTTTTACCTTTTAAAAAGAAACCTTTTTTCTCGAATCGGCTAATAATCTCACCAATCTGGAAAAAAAGAAAGCATAGAATCGGCTAAGTCTCTGATTAATTTGACAAAACATGTTCATTCTTCGGTTAAATTCCTGAACTACAACAATATTTATGTATACACACACACAGAAGCTCGAAAGAGCAAAATGGAAAACAAACCAGGCCACGCTGAACACCATCGGGCTTGATCATGATAAAGGTCTGCTCCATTTTTACTCAGATTGGTTGCTTCCCTCTGCTTCTGCTACTTTATCTGTAACTCATGGAGAGAGAGAGAGGTGCTCTGGTTATATGTGATAGTGATAGCAATGTTGCGGAGCCCTAATCTTACCCGATGAGCCCATATTGCAAAACCCAAGCCCAATATTGAATGGGCCAAATTATTCAAACGAGTAGTTTTCCCCTTTCTTTATTTTTAGTGTTTGGTTTATTGTCCTCTTTGATTCTTGATTCAAAATTGATTTCGGACTTTGGCCCTCATATGCAATCAAAACAAATTTAATAATAAAAATAAAACAGATTTTTACACTCTGAATGACGTAAATGAAATTAATCTATTAACACTAATGCGACAAATNCCTCATATGCAATCAAAACAAATTTAATAATAAAAATAAAACAGATTTTTACACTCTGAATGACGTAAATGAAATTAATCTATTAACACTAATGCGACAAATGCATAAATACAACACGAGTTTTTTCGACCAAGATGATGTATAGTCCACTAACATTTTCTATTTTTTTTTTTTTGCTTTGAAACAAAGATACATCAAAATCATAGTATTTATCAAACCACCGTATCCATTTCTATTATGATTTTGATTTTATTGATCCAATGATTCTTATTAAAAACTCAATCAGTGGAATATTTTCCTCCACTTAATCTTTTATTATTAAAGTGAAAAACAACGGCTAAGGCAAAGCTGTGAATACGTGCGATGCCATTGCCAACCTCNTAGTGGAATATTTTCCTCCACTTAATCTTTTATTATTAAAGTGAAAAACAACGGCTAAGGCAAAGCTGTGAATACGTGCGATGCCATTGCCAACCTCTGCCTCTATGAGATCTAAAGTTTCATTCTATATACAAATAGTTTATCACCGAACAATCAATTCTAATTCTAAAACTCTTTAATATTTGATGTACTTATGTTCGTAGTTTATTGTGTCGGATACGGACATTTGTTTGTAATCAATTTAAGATACTATTTGCAAATTAAGGTACCATCATTTGACCTTTGCTCGCAGAGCCTTACTTTCCCATTCACTCTGTTGAGCTAGAAAAAAAATTGCTTATGGTGAAAACCNCCTCATATGCAATCAAAACAAATTTAATAATAAAAATAAAACAGATTTTTACACTGTGAATGACGTAAATGAAATTAATCTATTAACACTAATGCGACAAATGCATAAATACAACACGAGNAATAAAACAGATTTTTACACTGTGAATGACGTAAATGAAATTAATCTATTAACACTAATGCGACAAATGCATAAATACAACACGAGTTTTTTTGACCAAGATGATGTATAGTCCACTAACATTTTCTATTTTTTTTTTTTTGCTTTGAAACAAAGATACATCAAAATCATAGTATTTATCAAACCACCGTATCCATTTCTATTATGATTTTGATTTTATTGATCCAATGATTCTTATTAAAAACTCAATCAGTGGAATATTTTCCTCCACTTAATCTTTTATTATTAAAGTGAAAAACAACGGCTAAGGCAAAACTGTGAATACGTGCGATGCCATTGCCAACCTCTGCCTCTGTGAGATCTAAAGTTTCATTCTATATACAAATAGTCTATCACCGAACAATCAATTCTAATTCTAAAACTCTTTAATATTTGATGTACTTATGTTCATAGTTTATTGTGTCGGATACGTACATTTGTTTGTAATCAATTTAAGATACTATTTGCAAATTAAGGTACCATCATTTGACCTTTGCTTGCAGAGTCTTACTTTCCCATTCACTCTGTTGAGCTAGAAAAAAAATTGCTTATGGTGAAAACCACAATGTAATCATCACAACATGAAGGCGCTAATCAGAAAATTATCATGAATATGTCTAGTACTGTACTTGAGTAAGTTTAAGGTGGTTAAGATTAATTAATTAAGGCTGATCTGTATAGTTAGTGCAAAGCGTAATTGCAACAAGAAGGAAGGAGAAGCAAGCAAGCTGTCATCAAACAAATGCCAGATCATAGCAGACCCCATGGGCTAGCTAGCTTTATGCCGAAACAAAAAGGAAGATTTGAGATGAACCACATGGAGGAGAAGATTATGAGGACACTACCATAAATCACAAGAGCGTGGCATTACTATAACAAGTAGAAAATATTCGGTGCATAGTATGAAGTGGTATACATGTATAATCGGACAATTTTATTAGCGACAACAATTGATTGAGAATGTATAATATTTTATGGGTGATGTACACCATAAGATATTCGTCAAGGGGCATCGTTTATCTTTCAACATCATACAACTGCGGGAAGAAAATTAAGGTTCCATCGCGTACTCTAAACACTGAAAAATAAGTTTAACTTTATCGAACTGTCATGACTATAAAGCCCGAAACTCAAGCAGTTAAGAGAAAAAAAATCGAGTTCTTGTCTACTGAACCAACCACTCCGTGGTATGAGATCAGTACATTGTTGATTCGGACCTCTTAGAGCAACTCATTACCTTTCTAGGATCTATGCAGTCCCTCGGAATATTATCTGGACAAATTCTTAGAATAACCTCATGAGAAGACTCGAACTACCCCCAAGATCCAGATGATAAATAAGGAAATATTCGAACACGGAACCTCGAAAATATTCGAATACGGGAGGTCCAGTAACTCGTGTGATTATTGCTCTTGCACAATAAGGGCAGTAGACTGTGCATTAAGGATGTAATTATTTTCATTGATATTAGGTCATTTATCGTTATAAAAAGATTCAGAGGACAAAATGATTTTTAATTTAAAGATTTCGTCCAAGTTTAATGGGACACATCATCAAGTATGAAGCAGCTTCCACCGAATGGCCTGTCCCTTTCACTCCCTAAATTAGGCACCGGAAAATCATTCCAAATGGCCAATGGTTGTGCAAATCACACCTTTAAGAGTATTTTCAACAATAAAAGATATTTTAATTAATCAAAAAACAATATTTTTTATTTTAGTTACTCAATTTTTTAATACACACTCCAACAGGTTTTCTATATTTTTAACTACTCTTTTGAAATATTATTTCTCATTCCTTTTGTATTATTTTTTTTAGTATCGTTGTAGCAAAATGTTATTTTAGATGTTTTGAAAATAATTTGTTGGAATGAAATTTTTTGACTACATAGTTAAAATTTAAAGATTTTGTGTGTTTTAGATGATCTATTGGAGATGCTCTAAAGTAGCTAAACCCTTTGAGCAAGGAAAATGTTGTTTGGACCTAATTTGATTATCTTATTTAGGGACTTAATGATGTACAACCATCAGATTGGTTGTGAGCTCCATCTAACATTGAAACTCACAACTAATTCAATGGTTATATTGAATCCACATCATTAGGTCTAGGGCTGTTAGTCGAACGAGCCCGAGTCGAGTTTGAAAAACTTGTTTCTTAATCGAGTTTTAAAAATTGTTCAAGTTCTCGTTTACGAAATGAGCCGAGCCTGAACGAGCCAAAAATAAGTTGAGCTTAAACCAAGTCCGAGTATTTGCATATAAACAAACCGAGTTTGTCGACTTTTAGCCAAACTTGAAGGACTTGTTTTCTAAATAAGCCTAAAAACTTATTTAAGTTCGAGCTCATTTAAAAAATGAACTGAGTCTGAAAGAGTCGAACTCGAGCCGAACTCAAGCTAAGCTCGAGTAGCTCAGTTTAATTAATAGTCATAATTAGGTCCCTAACTAAGATCCCTATAACATTGTTTGTACAAAAAATATATACCAAAATTTACACAAAATCACTTGTAATGGTTGGATAAATAGATCTTATCACTGATCCGACAACTATAATAGATTGGGTGCACAAAATTATTCAAACCCTTTAGACAGACCTCTTTCCTTCTTTTAGAAAATTAGACAACATCAAACTTCAATCTTACTTCTTCAACAGGAGAATATTTCCTCCCTGTAGGAAAATATCGATCATTATGTCCAAACACAAAAAGATAAAAGATAAAATACACTCTGATCCTTTTTAACTATGATCTCTATCTCACTTTATCCCTACAACTATTGAATTTCTAAACATTATCCCATCAATTATTTGAATTAGTTTCACAATATTCGATCCATTTTTTCAACCACTCAGCAATTAAAATTGAAAATCACAGTTAAAGACGAAATAAGAAAACTATGATAATAATTTAATATAAGACCGAAAGTTGTAATTGAGAGGATCAAAGTGTAATAGTATTTTTGGTACCTAAAGTATGTATTTTATCAATTTAATCCTCATTATATCAATTTGATCATTAAAATATTCAATTCGTGTCATTTTGGTTCCTACATAGGCGGACCGTTAAATTTTTGACAGAATAATCACGTGTTGGACACGTGATACTGTTTAAAAAAATTACACGTGGTCATTTTTGTCAAAAAACTTGACTGATTGTCTGATTGAAGACAAAAATTACACATATTGTATATTTTAGAGATAAAATTGATACAATGAAGATTAAACTGACAAAAAATACATACTTTAAGAACTAAAAATACTATTAACACTAAATTCTATCTGAGGACATGCTTGCCATTAACTAGAAAGTTTGAATTACGGTGGTCAATGAAAACAGCTCATGTACAACCCAATTTCCGCGTGAATTGCTTCCCTTTTCCCTTATATTTGATTAATTGTTGGTGGCAAATTCCCAGATGTGTGTGTGTGTGTGTGTGTGTGTGTGAGAGAGAGAGAGAGAGAGAGGGGTTCAAAGGCAAGTCATACATGGGTATTAGTATAAGAACACTGCACAGAAGATAACCAAACAAACTAACCAATCAGCCAACCAAATTAGCAGCTTTTCATCAATGGCTGACCTTGAGGACCCTCAGGTGATGCCTGAACTCATAACCTTCCTCTCTTCTCTTCTTCAGAGAATAGCTGAGAAAAATGATCTGAACCGTCCGTTGAACACCCAGAAAATCTCAGTCTTCCATGGCCTAACCAGACCCCCCATTTCCATTCAATGCTACCTCCAGAGGATCTTCAAGTACGCCAATTGCAGCCCTTCATGCTTCATTGTCGCTTACGTTTATCTCGACCGGTTCGTGCAGAAGCAGCCATTGCTGCCGATCAATTCTTTTAATGTTCATCGGCTGCTCATTACAAGTGTCCTTGTTTCTGCAAAGTTCATGGATGATGTGTAAGTTTCACTCAAACCTCTCTGTTTTTAGTTCATTTTATACAACTTATTTGTCTTGATCTATACTCAGATTTGTCTCATGTTAGATTTGTGTTTAATCTTTAAGCTCTCAATTTTATCAATTTAATTCATAAATTACTCAATTCGTATTTAAATAATTCTTATATAGACGGACTATTAATTTTTTTACAAAATAATCAAGCGATGGACATGTGATATTGTACAAAAGAATGACACGTGATCACTTCCGTTAAAAAAATTAATAAATTATTTGATTAAAAAGAAAAGTGACACGAATTGAAATTTTAGAAATCAAATTGATAAAATTAATATAATAAGCCAAACATTCTTTAAAGACTAAAATGCTATTAAAAAAAAACTTCTATTTTCCCTAATTTCTTGATGAAAAATTATCAAATTATTGTTTTGGGGAAGCAATAAAAAGTCAAATTAGTTTATGGTTAACTAAGATGCCGTAGAAGTGACGTACGTGCAGGAGACATCCATGTGAAAAATCGCATTTCTTCCGGAAAATATTTATTACAATGGTGATATTACGTGGTAAGGTGATATGATATTAACTATCAATAATATTAAAATAAATAAGTAGATAGACTCCACAAAAATTAATAACTAATTTGACATAGTTTATTGACCTAATGATATAGTTTTATTAGAACTATTGGATAAAATACCAAATTCTAATATTTGATGGAGCCCACAGTTAATCCAAAGATCATAGTGAATTATGTCAATAAATTAGGTCTCAATAATATTACTCTATTGGTGTTGGATTTACTTCACTGGCTCATCTTTTGGACTCCCCTCTTATAAGCCTTTTAGTTAGATTGTTAGCAAATTCTCCTCCACCTATTTCAACCGAGACGATCACGTGTTACATGTTTTGGCNTTTTAGTTAGATTGTTAGCAAATTCTCCTCCACCTATTTCAACCGAGACGATCACGTGTTACATGTTTTGGCTTAGTCATACTGTCTAAGTGAAGGTAGTAATTCTAATATTGTTTCTTTCATTTACTCGTCGTTACAAAATTGCATCACGTTAAAATACACTATCAGAATCTTTGCTAGATCTCACTATAATTTGGAGTGACCTATGCATTACAAATTACTTCAAACCTCATCTCAAATTGATAATTTGGTTTCTTATGCTTGAGTTTTTCAGGTTTTACAACAATCGTTACTTTGCCAAAATTGGGGGAATCAGCACAAGAGAGATGAACCTACTTGAAGTGGACTTCTTATTTGGGCTGGGCTTCCAGTTAAATGTGAGCCCAACCACATTCCAGACTTACTGTTCTTATCTCCAAAGAGAGGTGTTGCTGGGGTCTCCTCCTCTGTATTTGGCACCAGTACCATCTTCACTTGAAATAGAAAGAACTGTAATAAGAGATGATTCCACACATCAACAGCAATTAGCTGTTTGAAATGTTACTTATTTAGGTAACATTGAACCCATAAGCTTGTGTACTATAAACATATGGAAGTTTTTGCTCAGTTCACCTGATTCCACCTCTTGAGTTTTCTTTTTTAGTCGTTCTAATCATATGTTAGTTACTGCAAATTTTGTAAGTACCTAATTATTTATAGATCATATAAATCGATTAAAACTTGGGTTTTATGCTATCTCCGGGATTTGAACGCAGGATGTGTATGCTTATGATCCAAGCACCAGACAAGCATGGGGAAAAGAAAAGAACTTTACAAGTCAACTTGTCTAAGAGATTATATGTATTTGGGTTGTATTTTTTAAGTTTCATTTGAGTTTTGTAAAATTTTTCCGCTTCTATTGGTCCACCCATGGCCTGTCTCTACAACCTTGGGAATTGATTAAGATATATACTCTCAAATATAAGGAAAATGCTATTAATGGGATCCACGTATCTTATGGTAAAAAACATTGTCATATCATTTGGGTTAGAGATTTGAAAAAAAAATTTGGTAAGGATGGCATTATCCCAAATATAAATATAAAGATGTATATTTTGTAAAGATAATCCTTACAAGTATAATTGATAATTCTCTAACATAGTTCGTTATTTTAACGATTCAAGATGATTCATTATTTCAATGAGAAGGCAATCTAAAACTAAAAGATATATTTTTAGTCTTAGTTGATTGAAAAATCACAATTGAATAAGTTTGTCAAACTTATTGAATAAACAGAAAACATTCAACTAAATCCGAAATTAACTAAAAAAAAATATAAATAAATTTCGATTTCACACGATTTATCATCAATTCTACCCCACCTGCCCGGGGAGTACATTTGCAAGAATAAAATTCAATAGAATTGACAGGCCTGCACACGTGGTGGAGCAAGTGATATACCCAAAGAAAGTGCATATGATATACCATGTTGCCGGAATTAATTTTTATATTATTGTTATTTTTTAACTCTATTTTCTACTAGGTTAATAGTTGACTTAATGATCATGAGTTTGAATTTTATCGTTACCTCCTCTTTAAGAATTTGATGGAAAACAAAAAATTTCTAGTTACTAATAATCATATTTTTCAACTTATTTTTAGGATTATTTCAGCAAAAGCATTGTTTAATTTAAAAATTGTCTGTATAAAACTGTATTTACAAAATGTATTTTTGCATTGAAAAATAAAATAAAATTTCAGTACATTTCTATACAGCTAACTACAATTCAGGTATGATAAAAAAAAAAAAAAACTACAATTCAGAAAATTTAGTTAAAAGTCGCCATAATAAAACTCCACGTTGGATATTGCGTCCCTACAAAAGTGTACAGAGTACAACCGTCCGCACCGGATCAAGATTTTTCCAATTTCAAATTTTAGATGAATTTCATTTTTGTACCCCGAAGCTTTAAAATTCTTTAATTTATACTCTTAAAATTAAAATGATTCACATTATCTCCTTTATAATATTAAACATATTTCAATATGGCCCTTTTATTATCTTTTGTTTTAATTCTATCACTGTAAATAAAGTGATTTTAGATAGAATAAATAACGAAATTTAACAAAAAAAACGCATTGCAATAAATTTAAATATAAAAATTTTAATGAAAATTTAGGTTACAAATTGTGATTCCCTTTCAAATTTTGTTGAAGTTGCATATGTTTAAAGTTGCGGCGAGTGGGTTTTACAGAGTCCTTTGTAAAACTATCCGTTGATGTTTCCCCCCCCCCCCCC